GGGGTTTAGGGTTTGGGGAACCCCAGAAAGCAGCGGAGCCTCGGAGGCGACATCGAGCGCGACTTGGCCTCGGCGCAGCTGGACTACCATTCCGCTCTGACCGATCCTTGCCTTAGGGTTTAGGGTTTAGGGTGTAGGGTTCAGTGTTTAGGGTTCAGGGTTTAGGGTTTAGGGTTCAGTTGCCTTTCTTTCTGTGCCTCGGGGGTTTGGGGGGTCCTCAAATGGGAGTTTCCGAAAATCAGGGTACCTTATTTTGGGGCCCTTATAAATAGGATCCTACTATTTGGGGTACTATATTAGGGTTTCCCCGGAAACCCCCAAATAAGGATTCATGGACAGTTTTAGCAGCTTAGCTTCTGATCTTGTGAGGAGCCGCACTTTGCTGAGCACACTCCGAGGAGAAATCATGGGTCAACCCAAAAACTTCTCTTGTGATCGAGGAATGCACTTAGGACGGAGAGTACTTCGCTGCAATGCTGTCCTACGGAGAGACCGAAACCCAAGGACCCTAAAGCCCTAAACTCCTAAACCCTAAAACCCTAAAGCCCTAAACCCTAAAACCCTAAAGCCCTAAACTCTAAATCCGAAACCAAGGAATTCATCATGGATCTCACGGAGGAGACTTTGGGCGCGGTGTGCGGTGTCATTCCGGATGCTGCCCGGCGAGAGGATCGCGGATGACGCGGCCCTACAAACATGCGTAGGTTAGGGGCGCTTATAAGTCCAGAGCTGCACGTAGCCTAGTCTGCGATAGTTCTACGTATGGGTAAACATGACAGAATTTGCCGGTATGGATTTGGCTGGAAAGCCACTATTAGGCTGGATAATGTGAAAGGGTTCAGTCTTGCTTCGGGTGATCATCATTGCCTCGTAATGCAGGGCTGTGTTTCGATTTACGACATCTCGATCTCCTCTGTCCTGCAGTAGTTGTCTTTTTACGGTCGCAGGTGTATCGCCTTTTTCTCGGTGTCCGATCGGTGTGTTCTCAATTTTGGCCATGTTGCAGCAACCAGAGCATTAGAGAGTACGACATGTCGGGGATTGAGAGCCAAGGTGATGATTGCCCCATTCGGCGCCGGAGTGGCACTCAATCCGGGTGAGATCTGCGATGGCCGCTTTTCTTCTTTAGTTACTCTACTCGCGGTACATGTTCAGGATTGACATTTCCAAAGCGTCGGCTTCGAGAAGTGGTGTCCTCGTAAACCATTCTCGCACGTGCGGCTTAGCACGCACTCCCATACACCAGACAGCCCAGTGCCCCTCAGCCAATACGCTGTACCCCAAATCAAAACAAGACATCTGGCCGAGTCCGAGTTGCGAGAACGTAATTCAAAATAAGAGGCTTTGTGTAAAGTCAAACGTATTCTCATGGCTGTTGTGGGGTACTGTTTGGGCTTGAGTACTGCGGGTTACAACGGTGCTCTACCCTTCGACGAGGTGCGCTGCGGCACTCCCATCCCACCCCCGCGCAGCCTCCCTCTCAACCCACCCGCTTGCCCCTTTCAACCGGGTGGGAGGGTGGGAGGGATGGGGCTTGCACTTCGGTGCGGTAATGGTGGGGGTTCCTGCTGTGCGGCTCGGTTCGAGAAGGCGCAGTCCGATATGGTACTCGGGTGAAAGTATTGTTGAAAAAAAGCCCATGATCTTGACATTGATCGTTGTGTGTCTTTGAGAGCCGGAGCCGAAACCCGCTCGAACCGCTGCTTCCCTGCCTTGGACCGTGACATGTTAAAATACCCTACAATAAGCCGTTTGCCAGTAAAGCCCAACAGCCATGGAGCCCACTAGACCCTAAACTACCCTGAGCGCTTTAGAACCTGAGTTCTACAGACAGCCTTTAGCCCTGGAAAAGCCTGCTAGAGCTCGCAGAAAACTCTATATTGTAATATATTACATTACATTACATTTTATTATATTATATTATACTATATTATACTATAGTACTGCACAGTATATTATATTACATCATATTGTAGTATAGTATGTTATAGTATACTATGATTTATCAATATACTCAGAAAACCACTGGAACCGTCCAGGCATTTCGGAGCTCGTGGGGGCCATCTCAAACTTTGCCGGCCCTGTGAGTGGGTTCAGCTTCGCGAGGCGGCGTCGGGAGCTTAAAAGGGGACTTTTCGAAAAAGAAGGGGGTACGTTCTTTTGGGGGTCCTTTATAACAAGGTTCCTACTATTTAGGGTACTACATTAGGGAGTTAATTCAGACGCTTCGCATCCTCCGCCTCGGCCCCTTGCTTCGGAAAGCAAGAGGTAGGTCACACCGGCGAGGTCGTGAGTGAAAGACTGCCTTTGAATCAGAATATGTGTTTAAAGGGGGACTTTTAATGCTCTGCGCAAAAATCCCGCGGGAAAGTTGGCACATTCCCTGCATGCAATATAGACGTTATGACCGGTTTTAATTAAAGTATTGCGAGATGTACGGGAGAATCAAGCGTTGCAACAAAGTACAAGACGCAACCTTTGAGTTGCCGTGCTTTGGCATCGAATTCGCGAATGATGTAAGCTAGCCCGTCTTGGCCTGGCCGCAAGCAAAAGACAAGGAAAGGGATGGGGAAAGAAAGAAAGAAGCGGGGGCTGGAAGAAAAAAGCTGATTTGCCTGCACCGTGATGCAAAGCCGCACTTGACTCCTGTTCCGTCCTGGGGGGTCTTTTGTTAATTGACCGGGGTAGAGATATGTATGCCCCGCGCTAGCAGCATTGAAGCTCACGACAAGTAAACGGAATCTCACAAACAAACCTCTGTGGATGATACTATGCTCTCGATGTCTGACTTTGGCGTGCTGCCCCCAGAAAATAAAAGAGGGTGTGTGCGTGAAAGGAGGGGCTGGGTCATTGGGGAGGATATGAAGAAGGGGGAAGCAGGGATTCCCTGTTGTGGGAACCTCTGACCGCCTTGGCTGGAGCCGAGGCGAATGTAGGATTTGGGAGGGTTGTAGTCTAACGATACAGGAGAGGGGCTCGTGTTGGGATTAGAGGTCTTGAGGGCAGCGTCATGTTGTACATCGAAAGAGGGTTTGGTAGGGCTCCGATTAGAGGATCATTTGTAATCCTGTAGTAATGTAGAAATTTGCAAGAGGGTGTGTGGGGTGTTTGGGTGTTGAGGAGCTTCGGGTTAAAGGGGTTGAGAAGTTTAGAAGTAGAGTCGTTAGAAGCATGGGTATTGTATCAGGGGTTTAGGATTTCAGTCTAGTCTATAGCAGCTGTGCTTTGGCCTTGCATGCAGGCTTTACGAGTTTGCAAAGGGGCTATCCAAAGGAAACTGGGTGTTCAAGCATTGCTTTTCCCCTATGATCCGACGTTTCGAAAGAATAAGCGTCGATCTCGCTCTGGCTCTCTCGCTCTCTCTCTCTCTCGCGCTCTCTTTGCTTCTCTCTCTCTCTCTCGCTCTCGCTCTCCCTCTCTCCGTACAACGAAGCGTGATTCTGGGTTTAAAGTGTTGTCACATCGTTCCAGACTGTACATACTGAAGAACCCCCACAAGAGCCCAACCGTTGTCTTCGATACCTTTGTGCTGTTCGTTTCCCTGTGATCCGGGATAGAAATGCGTCAGTTGCCGCGGCGGTTCAAGTTTCCTTCTTTTGCGACTCGGGCTCTCAAGGGTCCAAGCACTCCTTGCTTTAGCACGCTGCGTCCGGTTTGTGTACCAGGAGCCGCCCATAACTGAGTACCACTTGGACCCTTGGGGCTGGGCCTAGTCTATGCTTACTACAGCTCCCTGGGATGAAAACCGATAATGTGTAACGTAAAGCCTTTCAAAACCCAAAGCCTATGCAACCCTGTTCCCCTAGCCCTGCTTGACCTTCGAAGAGGCAGGGCTGGTCCATTGAGCAAGAGCCTTGCCTGCAGTATCCCCGAGCTGGGATCAAGCAGAAGAGAAGCCTAAAAGGAGTTTAGGGTGAAGTCCCTGTCGTTTTACGGTTTTGGATTTTCGGACTTGGATGCCGCACCTAGTAGTTATCGGCTTTTCAGGTTTGGGGTGGAGGGCTCCAGTGCCTTTTGGATTTAGGGCTTTCGGTTGAGAAGTTCCCCATACAGCCACCTAAGCACCCTGCTGCTTAGGCACTCGTACTGACTCACAGATCCAATCCACTAGACAGTTGGTGCCGATGGTCCGGCTTGCAGATGTTAGGTTGAGGTCTACCATCACCGACACAATCTGGCGATGTATTCTTTCCAGTGCCCGCTTGTGCACAGGCGGCCGTCAACTGCTCAAAGCAGCCATCAGTGCGCATCACGACCACGAATTTTCTCACCCCATACCACCATCGGCGCCAATCAACATCACCACCGTGATTTTTCTCCATCACCATAGTCATCATCATCCCCATCAGTACCAGCTGAAGCTCAATACTTGAATACCAAAATTCTGTGATTCTAATATTTTTGTTGGGGGTTCTTACCAGCACTGAAACCCCTAAACCCGAAACGGTCTCTGCTGGAGCTACACCCGAAACTCTAAACGCCCAATACCGTTGTATCTACGTAACACTCTGCGAAAGCCCGGGGAGAGCCACGGACTTTGGAACCTTCCGGGGGGGGGTACTTAGTGGCAGCGCAGGTAACCTTTCACCTTTTGGGGTACTCTAGAATCCCCATAACCATAATATATTCCCAAATTCAGGTTATCCTGTTATCCGTTAATTCGCCTAGGATACTGGACAACTTGAATGAGCTCCGTGAGAATAACCTGGAAGCCAGTAGTTGCAAGTATGATTGTTATGGTAACTTACATCAGCGAACCAACAGGGCTTTGATGGTTTTGGTCAACACCTCTATGTTGAGTTTCAATCGTGCAGGCACGAGCTTCGACTCCAACAGTTCCAGTTCAGCCTGAGACAAAACTAAACTACTTGGAGGTTCATGGGTAGTTCTAAATGGGGTTACAAGTAGAGTAACTACACTTATAAGCCATATTAAGGGACTTCGAACCCCACTTATAACTACCCAATAAACCTCCAAGTAGTGGGGGCATCCTTGTGGAGGAAGGCTACGCAGCGTGCAATCCCATGCAAGTCGGATTTGCGCGCGCCTTCTGCGACATCCACTGTGTGCGGGATGCCGTGATCCGTGGCGATCGGTCCATCATCCGACACTTGGCTGACGGGAGTGTGAGTTGAGGGTTTTTGGGGGTTTGAAGACTTTAAGGTTTGAGATTCTGTTTGCCTTGCAGGTGTCTGATTAGGCCGCTGAGGGCTATCGAAGCTGTCGGCAATGCGTAGAGGAATTTTGGGAGTTCGAAGATCATGTAAAATTAATGCTGAACGTCTGGGGTTGGGCTTTTCATGTCTGAACTACCGATTCTGTGTTGTGCATATAGCCGTCGAAACTACGGCCTCCCTTTTTTCCCAGTTGGTACATGAGCCCCATCATAAAGCATCCTGAGGTTCCAACATTGCGGGACTTAGGCGAGGAGACGGTCTACTTTGAGGTTCATGGGTAGTTATACAGGGGGTTATAAGTAGGGTAACTATACTGATAAGCCATATTAGGGGGCTTGTAACCCCATTTATACTAATAATAACCCATGAACCTGCAAGTATCCGTGTGCAGGGTATTCACAGGCTCCTTGCATCCTCGCACGATAGCTTGCTTCCTTGTAGTGGTGTCGGGTTTGCCTCTTGAAAAGTAGCGCAATATAGCAGCTACTTGAGTGCTTTGTTCGCTTGCCTTGGATATACAGCGTTGTAGACCGTATCTCGCCGGAGTTTGAGTCAGATGTGGTTTAGCGCACACAATCACTGGTCGAAGACATGCCTGTGTAACGGTGGCCCTTGCATGAAGATATGGGACTTCCGGAAATTAGGGTACCCTATTCTGGGGTCCTTATAATAAGGATCCCCCATATGCTTCCGGTGGAAGATATGCTCACTGCCACAATGTTCCGTGACCCTGACCTGACAAACCGACACTTTTTATAAACTTCTCCTCAATCCTGAACACCTGAGCCCGGGTTTTGTCTGAAAAAAACCCGGGCTCACCATTACAAATCCGAAACCCCCCGTTATAAAATTTCTGATCAAAACAAGAGCGGTGCCTTTGGAGGCCAGGCTTCAGGGGTGGAAAAATCCCCCCCAGACTTAACCCACACCTCTCTCTCTGGGAGGGTTCCGCCCAAAAAAAAGCAAAGCTCGTGGCTTCCCGAGGGAACCTCGAGATGGCAACGAAGAAGACCAACAACAACTTGAAGGCTCAGGGTGTCCTTGGGGCAGGTATTTTGTTGGCTGGTGGCAGTGGGGGTTGCTCGCGGTGTCTTTCTTTATTGCGGTGACGAAGTTCTTTCTGTGTTTCTGTAAGAATGAGGGTCGCCGGATGTGTCGAAATCTTCAGGCGTGCGCGAAGGTTTGAGCCGAGGGGTTAGAGATTTGGGCTCCTTGTTCGGTCCTTGTATTCGGACTCAAGGTCTTTTCCTCGGCTTTAGGGAGTGTAGGCTCCTTCCATTAAGGTTCCCTGTCCTGGGGTTTAGGTTCTGCCCTGCCAGGCTCTGGTCAAGTGGTCAGTCGATGCGTCTCACACGGACATCGGGTGGATTGGCGAGAAGCTGGACTACATGCACATCATCAACACCGCCTACATGCAGGAAATCCACGACGCCTGGGTGAATGTTGGCTCTTTTCCTTTCGTCCGCCCGAGGTTGGCTAGTCCGGGTGCTGCTAGACCCGAAGCCGTTACAGCCTCCGCCCTCAGCACATTCACGGAGGCATAGGTCATCGTCTGGCGAAAGCGGCCACAACTTGCACTGTAGGCCTATTGTGTCCATGAAACTTCCCATGAAAATCCATTAGCCCAGTTCACCACTGTCTTCCGTTTGCAACTTGGCACTCGCACATTGTTGTCTGTTGCATATGTGGCGGCGTGTTGACATTTAATAATGGGTGTGTCGAAGCTACAACAATGGAGCCCGAACATGTTGTGCGGCAGTTTTCGGTGGCTGCAGCTCACCACGAGTATCTACAAAATTTTAGCAGCGCCTTAACTCCATCATTGCCTATCAGGCCTATCAGTCGTATCGCGACCGGCAAGTTTCTCCCTGCGGCACGGGAACAGTTCTTCCTGAGCTTCTGAGGTTCTGTAACTGCAGCAGCGGGCATGCCTGCACATATAGGTGGCACCAAACTCCAGCCCTGAAGAGGCAGGAAAGAGCCTGACAAATGTGTCAATCCCCGGTCCCACAGAGGCACGACATACAAACAGACAGCGTGAGACTCTTAGTATTCACAGCGCTGCGGGGCCGAGGACATGGTGACCAAGCAGTCCCAAGCCGCGGAGGAGCGGGCGCTGAACAAGTTCGGGCAGTGTTTAGGGTTTAGGATTCGGGCTTTCAGGGTTTAGGGCCTAGGATGAGGGCTTAATGGGTGAAGACGGGGCAATCTTATTCCTGGCTAGGATGGGGCGTTGCACGATGTTTTGCAAAGGCTTTATGGGGCAGTTATTTTGGAAGTCAGAGGACGTTTCCGGATGAAGGCCGGCCGGTCGAAGTTTGGGGGTCCTTGCCATGATGCTACAGAGGCCTGAAAAAGTGCAAGATTAGTGTTTTGGGAGGGTTCCTTGTGCTTCTGCTGCTTTAAGGCTTTGCTGTGGGGTCTGAGCCGCTGATAGCCTTTGGTGTCGCTGTGAGGGGAAGCTGAACCCACGATCTCGCCACCCCGCGGAGCTTCTCAATCAGGGTCAAAGCAGAGCCTGCAAGGGAGTTTTTTTTTCAGAATTGGTTTCTGGCGCCCCATAAAACCGAAATTTGGGGGCTGGATCCCTGCCTGCTTTGCAAGTGGGCGATTCGAGAACCGAAACTTGCGCTTGGTTTGGCGTTGGTGGGTTTTTACAATATTTTAGAGCCCTACATTGGACACCTCCTTGGAAGCATTGTGCTCAGGAGGAGCTCGTGCAGGGCACCGAGAGAGCCACTGATTCAATGCACCCCGGACTTGATCAGGTGATTTAGGATTTGCGGTTTAGTATCTTCGGTTTGGGATTTTTGCAGTGTTGAAAGCTCGAGATTCGATTTTGTGTCAGGAGCCGATGCAGGCATTCATAGATTGCGATCAGTGTTATCGACTTGCAGAGAACTGGCAGAAGATCTTGGTGCGTCCGGAATCCCTTAGGTTGGTTGTATTGTGAATTGTGTGCCCCATGTGTATTGCGATGTCTGGGCATTTTTCGAGTTGTTGTTGTTGTTGTTTTGCATCGTAGTCAAGTTCGGGGGGCTCCAGCGGACTTGATGCGATTTCCTTGTGCCTAATCGCAGACTTCCTCCAGAGCTGCATGGGCCTTACAGTATGTCACGCGTTTCAAGTTCGCGAAAAGCAGAGGCTGAAGCCTCGTATGTAGAAATTATCCTTTTGCAGTATATCTTTGGGCTTTCTTCTGCACTATGGAACCCGCCCCCTTGAATCGCAACACCCCTACAGCAACCCTATATAGGTCCCCGCAAAACCCTCTGTTTCCTCGTGGTAAACCGTTTAGCCCTGCGCCCTGCCGGCGCTACGCCCCCAAAACAGCTACCAAGACATCCACAACTCCCTAAATGCTTCAGAGCCCCAG